GGGGGGGGGGGGGGGCGTACTCTTATGCTTTGCATGCCTTAGCGGTTAGACCATTGACCACGCGTCCTCGAGAGGACGGAGCATTGTTCCCACAGGACCGATCACCGATGGCCAATCGTTCCTTCCTACTTTGCCAAAGGTGGCTCAAAAATGTCTTCCCTAGTCTGTCTATCCTACCGATGTCACTTCCCGCCTTTTCAAACCACTTCCTACTCCCCAGTACCGCTACCGTCCTCTCCTCTTTATTCCATGCCTCAAACATCTCCCTGTACGTCCCTTGTATTCTTCCCAGCTCAGTCATGTACACTTCCCTCTCCTTTTCGTACCACGGACATTCCGCGACTACATGAACACTGTCTTCGCATTCGAAGCCGCAATGACATTTGAACTTGTCGTCTTCGTCGTCTACCGTCCAGGGGGGGGGGGGTTCTGCGCGTCGTGTCTTGCTGTTTCCCTCGTAGAATATAATTATGGGTGAGGTCTGCCTAGACCTCGCCGGCGAAGCGCGTAGAAGAGGGTTACGTTAAGAGCAGTGTATGTTGTACCTGATTTGGTCGAATGGCACTCTATGGCAGTACGCTAGGGCAGTGTACATGTTGCACCTGATTTGGAAGGATGGCACTCTGTAGCCGTATGTTTGCGGTTTTGCGCTCAGCAGTCTCATGCTGAAAGATTTGTTTTCGATTTTGAGGAGTTGTTTTTATTGTAGTGCCCTCAGGTGTCGGTGGGGGTTCCTCCTTTGATTCCTGCATCACGCATGTGAGGTGCACGGCCCGTCCAAGCCGAAAGGCGTTTGTTTCTCCTCGGTGATGGCACGGCAGTCGGCATGAAGTCACGTATCTCGTAGCGCAACAGACATCTCCTGGATCCCGCCGCGCGTCTATTTGTATTTTTTCAAGTGTCCCGTGAGTAAAAGACGTCCTTGTGCGCAGTCTCTATTCATGTGTCCGTGAGTCAAAACACGTTCTTATTTGCGTCATAAAAAACTCCACCTCCAACAGGTGATCCACGGTTGGTTCACCGACCCCCAGCCGTTCTTCACCGGTGGCCTAAGCGCCGAAGAGGCAACGGAACCTCTAAACGACGCCCTCGAGGCGGTCTACCCGGCCCTCGAGGGAGTCGGCCGTGTCACGGGAGTGCTCACCGTGCGGCTGCACGTGTCGGGCGAGACCGGAGGCGTCGTGAGCGTGGTGGCGCTGACGGACACGCTGATACCGGACCCGAACGACGTCGGCATCGACGAAGAAGGGGTGGAGGAGGACGCGAGGGCGGACGTGCTGGACGCGGTGGATCGGGGGTGCCGGGAAGCGAGATTTCCTGCGGCCGGCGAGGACACGCACATCACCGTGCCCTTCGTGTTTGAATGATGTAACATTTCCGGGATTTACAGAAGAAAATAATGTACTTCACGTGTATTTGTGCAATTGTGTGCGATTTGTGTTATGCCATGACGTTGTCAAGACACAACAACCCGGGGGTAACCCCGGCCTCGACTGAAGCCATGTCCTTTTTTCCCAGGGGAGGACATCTATAATGCGAGTTGGTCGACGCACACGCTCTGTATTGTGCCATAACGTTGTCAAGACATATTAAGGAATAATGACATATGTTGCAAAAGAAAACGACCATGTTTCGATGCCGGCCCAAGTTGGCGTTGGTCGTGGGGAGTGAGTCGTTCATGTCATCCGCACTCAGTGTACCTCCCACGGTGTACCAACTCACGCTCTCAAGTTGAAGACGTGCTCCTTGCAGACAAATAATAGTATTGTTAAAGCACGAAAATCGTCGGCGTTGCTAGTCCTAAGCTCGCTCTGTTGTTGCTCCAGTCTTACGACAAGGACGCGGGAAAGACTCCTCTTGCATGCAAGGCGTGAAGACTCCACATGTGAGTCGTTGCTGCTTCGCGCGCTCAGGAGGAGCTGCTGCTGTACAGCCCCTGTTGTGTGCTCTCCTGGTCGGCTATCGAAGCATAGAGCACATCACACTGGCAGCTCTTTGTGGCACAGACCGGCAACCAACGAATTGCGGTGTCCTCTGCTGCCCCTGACGCGTTGTTTGTTGTTGGCGTTCCCTAAAACAAAAACATGTCGCAAACTATTTTCCCGTGTGGTGGTCTAACCCGAACACAAGGATACGCATCAAGCAAATGCAACGGCCGCCTGGCTACCGGCATGAGTGCCCAGAACTACTAATGGGGACGGGGACAACATCCGGACCTCAATCGCAAAACGAGAAACTACGAAACTTCCTGTCACTATTAATCCCGTTGTTCCCGTCACTACTAGTCCCCTTTTCGTGGCGAAGAGACGCGTCACCCCTGCGGCAACAGACAAACTCGAGAAAAAACGGAGGCCATCAGAGACACCACGCAATCAATTCGCCCTCTCACCCCGCCCACCCTTCTTTGTCCAATTCGCTGTTTCTTCTCCTCCTCGTAAGGTTTTTCCGGCATCAACAAACACCGCCCACGTGTTCAACCTATCAACATACCTCTCTACTGCTCCCACAGCAGTAGTGGCGCGCTAAGCCCCCCCCGGGATAGCTTGATGTACCCCGGTCCCCGCAATCAATACGGGATTTCGGCCCGCTCTGCGACAACATCAACAGCAGCGATTCCGATACTCCTCCTCTAATCAAGCACAAACACCAACACCTTCCACGCAATGCTAGAATCTACCGCTTGAACCGGCCGTCCGATGACCAGCGCATGTTGCACACACCGCGCAACCAGAACACAACACACTAAAAGATTGCAACAAACACCGGTCTGTCTCGGAATGTCGCGGCGCATCTAGAACCACCAACACCCACCGCCCCGACGGTACACCAGACACCCCACGGGCAAACACACAAGGAAGTGCATTCGATGATGATTACGCGCACGAGAAGTCAAAGCCAAAGGCACAACAACATACCGCGTCAACTCCCCCCCCCCCCCCCCCCCTTTTCAGGGGTCAA